CGTAGGGACCGAGGGTGTGCGGTATTGGTCCTCGTTAAACTGTGCTACCGTAAAGTGCTCGACTTCGCGCGCAGGTCGTCGGGCTACCGAAGCAGGGGTTCCATCCCCTCCGCAGAGGATCAAAATTGTGATGGCATGTCTTCGGATCATCCTCCGGGATGATTCCCAGATCGTCGCCAAAAGCCCATTGTGCAGCTCTAGTGCGACGTAAATTAACAACAACAACGTTTGCGTGCCTGACTGAAAAGTCAATGGTTGCGGGTTCGAATACCGCTCAGGGCATGGATGTTTCTCTCTATGGGTTGTTCTCTATTGTGTGAATGTGGATAAACGGTTAGTGTGGCGTGGGTAATGCTGCTCGCCTCCGTGACTTAGGTTCACAGCTGCCCACTGGGTCACGTTAAATGAGTAATACTTCCGTTATCTTTCTAGGTGAAGGACGTAAAAGGTCAGTGCCTGCTATTAGAATAAAAAACAATTACCTAAATGTATACATGTTTTATTCAGGCATGATGCAGTTAAAAAAAAGCCATTTCCAAGAACCATATGACGGACCCTCTGCTGTTGTTTCTGAAAAACTGATCACAAATTGCCGAAACAATAGAGGCTTATGTGATTCGATAGACAGTGCCAAACCAGCGTTTCTAAAGGCTAATATGCAAGACGTCGCTGGCTTACTACCTCGTGCAATCGACTCTGAACCACAAAATGTCGACCTGCTCCTAATCGAACAACAAGCCCTGAACGTCATGAGATTTTCCCCCAAAGATTACTACTTGACTGATTAAGGACTACTTCCTTACCCAATTCAAGCACTGGGAAGAGGATATTGCGGCGATTCATAATGTAATTCGAAAAACTTTGTGAGCCCAGTGTTTCTCTCATCAACTCTTTGTATCCGCTTCAGCTTCACACCTTATTTCCACTTGCAGGTTTAGGCTAAAATGCTCGTAAAACTAGTTTAAGATGGCTAAAATGAACCTTTAGAAAGATCAAACCTGCTAGTGGAAACAGAGTGTTGTAATTCATAATATAATTCGGAGAAGTTTGTAAAAACTGGAATACAAACAAAGAGAGCGGGTAGAAAATAACAACACACGCTTATGGCATCGCGTTCATATTCTTGTAATTATTTGTGTATTATACTTAAATAAATATGCTATATAGAGTTATTAATAACTATGTTATAACCACAAGGGTAAAACAATGACGACTTTGAATTCCACCATAACCCTAGACTTATCTTGGCGATGTCCTTCTCTAACTTGTGCTCTCTGTTGTTCAACTTGAAGGTCGTGGTAGCCCAGTAATTAGAAAATCACACTCCGGTCCGGAAGAACCGGTGGTTCGATCCTCGACTCCGTTGAGACCCAACGAGTACACGTGATATGCGTGCTCTCAAAATCTGCGGAATCGACAGTCCTGTGGTGTGTTGCTGAGCAGTACAATAGGTACAGGGAGCTGGAGAAAATTTCCTTCACCTTCAAATCAATGTCTAAATTGAGTAAGTGGCCTCACAAAATTGTGATGCCATGTCCACGGATCACCCTCAGGGATATTTTCCAGACCGTCTCCAATAGCCCATTGTGCAGCTCTAGTACGACGTATTTCAGAGTACCTACTTGTTAAACATGACAATGAATTACATACGGTACTTTGTAAATGGCACACAAACCTGCATATGTATAACAATAAATATATCAATGTCAATAAACGGATCAATATTGCCTAGTTATGTAGCTCGAATATCAATGTTATCAGACGAGAAATAAATAAATAGAGATGCTAAAGTGATTTTCTCTTCCCGTTTTCAGGATGGGATTCACTATTCTTTATTGGAGATTTCCTGCTGAGCTAGTTCACTTGGTTATCTGATCAAGTAATACATGTAGTTTTCGTGCAGCTGTAGCTATTTATGACATTATCTTAAAATGTTTACTTTGTTAACCCCCAAAATCAACCTTTCGTTCACGACTTCACCCTGTTGGATTTTCCTTTACCTTGGTTTATGGCAAACTCTTCTTTTTTGACGTCCCGCAGTGGACTGATAGTTAAGACACGGTTCCCAGCAGATCACCGAAGTCAGGCATCACTGGCTACGGTCAGTGAGCGGGTGGGTGACCACTTGGATCAGTCTGCGTAGGGACCGAGGGTGTGCGGTATTGGTCCTCGTTAAACTGTGCTACCGTAAAGTGCTCGACTTCGCGTGCAGGTCGTCGGGCTACCGAAGCGGGGGTGCCATCCCCTCCGCAGAGGATCAAAATTGTGATGGCATGTCTTCGGATCATCCTCCGGGATGTTTCCCAGACCGTCGCCAATAGCCCATTGCGCAGCTCTAGTGCGACGTAAAGTAACAACAACAATAACAACAACATCTTTTTTGACATTCTAAGTTACAGTCACTCGAAAAAATATTTTTTCGAGTGACTGTAATAATCAAGCATTTTTTCCCTACTATAAAAGCTATAAGCGCATTTATAACGCAAAAAGCTCTTAAATGGATCGTTTATCATTTATTCACTAGGGGGCCTCCCTGACCGAGCGGTATCACCGGCCAAACGCTGTGCAAAGCGTGGAGGTAGCAGGTTCGATTCCCGTCGTAACCCTGGATGTATTCTTTGTGATGTCCTTTTCTGAATTATTCCATCTGTCCTACTTGACAGAGGCTTATAAGCCTAAATTGAGCACACAAGCCTGCAAATGTATGTACAATAAAGTAATTCGTCACGAGGATAAACTGAAATAAGTAGTGCGATTATTGATTAATGCGCCCCTTAAAGCCGGAGTTCTATCCATGAAACACAAATAATAACTTTTTACGAACGAGAGAGAGTTTAAACTGTTGGTGCACACATTGAATTTATTTTTCGAAAAACTTTTTCTTAAGGAATTTTTTTTTCGCGTTGACTTGCGTAATGTTTCATTTTTAGCATGTCTATGTTTGTTCCGCGAAATCTAACGTTCGAGCCACTCAAGATCTTCGCAATGTATGCTTCTGAAATTTCGTTCTCTATTGTATATTTATTTAGCTGAGGTAAGTTGACAATATTGACGTTTAAAATTATTTTTAATTTGAATGAAATTCATATATTAAAAATTATCTTTTATTAATTTTTCTTAGAATATGTTTTGAAAACTTTAAATTTATCGGGCAATTTTAATTAGTTATTTAACAATTTCTAATGTTCGAAAATTATTGTAAAAATTACACTTTAATGTAAATTTTAGTTATCCAAAATTATTATTTAATACAACAAATTCTGTTTGTATGCTTTGTATTGACTGCTGTATATTTGTAATTGGGAATTTCGAATGCTGAAACTCCAAATGGAAAATAAAAAAATTAGTTTGTGTTAAATTCTGTAAAGAAGGTAACATTCTTCAAACGTTAGAAAATACCAAGTATAGTCTTAATTTATATTACTTAAATAAATTGCCTCTGATAAGAATAAGAAAAAGATCTTCTCAAATTTAGATCAAAATTAAAGTGTAAGCATTTGTGTTTATCAAATTCTTTTTAACATTGACTTTGCTTGAAATATAAATATGGTTGCCCAATTTAGTGTTGAAATTAGTTTTCGAAAATATTTCTTTAATAAAGTATTATAATGGTTAAAAATTTATTTGCATTCGCATTTACACATATGTATTAACTATCAATTGAAACTTCGAGAATCAACATTGTATTGTATGGCTAGGCTGACAATCATCTATCAAAAGTAAGATCAGGAGAAATTGTAGTTAATATATCTTATATACTAGTGAGTGGGAATTGAATAATTGTAGTGGTTTTTCATGCTGCAGTATTTCAAAATATTTGATGCTTATTTTTTCTACATTCCAATGGAACCAATAAGGATTATTATGACAGTTTAAATAAGCCAAGTAATGGATACTGTTACGTAATGGGATACCTGTAAATGACGTTATGTAGGTATCTCAAACCTGATTGGTTGTTGAAACGTGGCATTTAAATTAGCGCCTATTCTCTCCTTTCTATTTCGAAGAAGCCAAGCCGTTCAAGTATCAATTCTATTAATTGAGACATTCTATGTTCTTTCGCATATACTTCAATACTTTCAGTACATATTTTTTACTTTGCACAAAGATAGACTCGAAGTTATGTAGAACATAAACTATGCATCGAAGTTGCCAGGTACAAAAAACAAAATTTTATCACTGTTACAATAAAATATACAAGCAAATAAATATAAGTTAAGTAAAATACATAGACTAGAAACAATTATATTTAAGCAATTTCGATGTGTGACAAGGAGCTGTATTTAATTAACTTCAAATTAATTAACATTCTAACCTATGGGGGAAACTTAGCTCAACTTTAACACGTCATTTAGCTTATAAACGATCAGCTGGCGCTGACGTTTTAGATGACATTGTGGGTATCTGTGATCTTCTTGAAGTGCATTAATCTAATTAGCGAATTTCTAGAAAATTAAACAATTTAAAATCAACGGTCAATAGAAGTTGAAAAACTAAATTGTGTACTAAAAAGCAAAAATAATGGGAAAAAAAATTCTTTTTTCGTGGTTAGTTTTTAACATCTTGATTCGGCTTCAACTTCGGCATCATTCTCGGAGATTTTATTAAGATGTGCTTGTTTTGCTGAACATAGTAGACTAAATACCTGGGAATTAAAAAATTCAATTCCTTTTAGCTTCAGTAGTTACTCCAATAAGTGCCTTTCAGCTTTGCGCATCATATAGCAAGGCTAATATTATTGTTTATATATTTTTACTAGTGCAATTCCAGTTATTCATAGACAATAAAAATAGTAAATAATCAATTGCCAATGACGGAACAGACAAAATACCACCATTGCCAAAGCAAAAATAATGCCATATTTTATTTATTGCTAGATGAATACTCGTTTCTCGTAAAGAGTGAAAAAGAAAGAATCACTGCATCAAAATCAAGTCCAAAACTGAAAGACATATATTGAAACAATTAGTAAAGCTAAAGTAATTTGAGTGTCCTTTGTATTTATTATTATGCATCGTCCTTCCCTGTAACTTTGCGTTATTAGATTTAGTAAAACACATTTTAAGTAGTTCGGCCCATAAAAATGAAGATCGTCTTTATTCGGTACCATCTGGCACAATGCTGTTGCTCGAGGTCAAATCGTGACGTTTTAAATTAACCGCATTCAAGAAATTATCTGCAGTAATATCTTCGAGAGGTCGTAATAAACTTNAAACAAAATTTTATCACTGTTACAATAAAATATACAAGCAAATAAATATAAGTTAAGTAAAATGCATAGACTAGAAACAATTATATTTAAGCAATTTCGATGTGTGACAAGGAGCTGTATTTAATTAACTTCAAATTAATTAACATTCTAACCTATGGGGGAAACTTAGCTCAACTTTAACACGTCATTTAGCTTATAAACGATCAGCTGGCGCTGACGTTTTAGATGACATTGTGGGTATCTGTGATCTTCTTGAAGTGCATTAATCTAATTAGCGAATTTCTAGAAAATTAAACAATTTAAAATCAACGGTCAATAGAAGTTGAAAAACTAAATTGTGTACTAAAAAGCAAAAATAATGGGAAAAAAAATTCTTTTTTCGTGGTTAGTTTTTAACATCTTGATTCGGCTTCAACTTCGGCATCATTCTCGGAGATTTTATTAAGATGTGCTTGTTTTGCTGAACATAGTAGACTAAATACCTGGGAATTAAAAAATTCAATTCCTTTTAGCTTCAGTAGTTACTCCAATAAGTGCCTTTCAGCTTTGCGCATCATATAGCAAGGCTAATATTATTGTTTATATATTTTTACTAGTGCAATTCCAGTTATTCATAGACAATAAAAATAGTAAATAATCAATTGCCAATGACGGAACAGACAAAATACCACCATTGCCAAAGCAAAAATAATGCCATATTTTATTTATTGCTAGATGAATACTCGTTTCTCGTAAAGAGTGAAAAAGAAAGAATCACTGCATCAAAATCAAGTCCAAAACTGAAAGACATATATTGAAACAATTAGTAAAGCTAAAGTAATTTGAGTGTCCTTTGTATTTATTATTATGCATCGTCCTTCCCTGTAACTTTGCGTTATTAGATTTAGCAAAACACATTTTAAGTAGTTCGGCCCATAAAAATGAAGATCGTCTTTATTCGGTACCATCTGGCACAATGCTGTTGCTCGAGGTCAAATCGTGACGTTTTAAATTAACCGCATTCAAGAAATTATCTGCAGTAATATCTTCGAGAGGTTGTGATAAACTTTTTACGTGGTATCTAAATAAAAAATGCACAGTATTGATGCAATTTTAATAGGCACCAAATTTACTATAAAAATACTTTGTACCTATATAAATATATTTAGNTGTAATGAGGCTTTTTTTTGGTGCCGTGTAAGAGAAATATAGATATAGATTTAGTGCCGATTAAACTGCCCTAATTACAGTATAACCGGTAGTGCATTGTTACCAAAAATAATCATCTTTGGCATCAATAACACTTTAGAAATTTTTTTAAGTTTCTGTTTTTCGTTTGATTCTCCGGAACTTAATCTTTTGGGAGTAGATAAAAAATCTAGTACTATAAACCACATTAAATGCCTATACTCGTGAATTTGGCGTTTGTTAAAACAGCAGCTATTAACAATACCAGTAAAACAAATTAGCAAAATTATCAATGATGTCAATATGTTCATATAGTGTAATCATAGAGAGATTTTCTACAATTATTTGAAGAGTTTGATCTCCATTTACTTAGATCTTTAGAATATAATTTATTTTCTTTATTTCAATTAATTACTTAGTTATTATTTGGACTTTAAATTGTTTGGTTTTGTAGAAATTATAGTTTTAAAAGCGCAACCAGGAACAAACTAAGCAGATTTTTGAACTATTAATTCGCTCTTTCATGCATTGATCTGTGAGATTAAATCATATAACGAATAAAAATAATGAAATATTGAAAATCGTGCAATAAACTATTTTGGGGGAAAATCTTGCTGAGATCTTACAAGCATCTAATTTTTTAAACAGTTGAAAATAAACTTGTGCAATTAAATTTATTGCTGTGTCTAATGCGAAACTCGTTTGAAAAATTCATTTTTCAAACATTCCTGGTAAACAAACTGAATTTTAGTATCAGGAGCTTAAAATAGGTACGTCTTTTCAGAATTTTTAGAATCTTAGTATATACAATTCTGGATTTTAAGAGAGAAACTCAAACTTTACTTATTCAACTTTTCTTCGGCGTTTACTAAGTACTTTTGTCTGTCCTTGAGTCGAAAAGTTGTCTTGAATCTTCAAAAAAGTGTGCGCTTAGGGCCTGAAATTTGGACATCGATGACAAAGAGCAATATTGGTCCCCTATCCTATAACTCGTTTAACAATTTCAATTTGTAAGTTCATGAAAATGTTTGAAAAGTGAATTTTTAGTGCTAGTTTAGCATTAGCCATTGTTATAAATTAAACTATAGGCAGTTCCTTATTGAATCCCAAGAAACTAAAGTGATTCTTTCACACTTGATAAAAAATTTCATTTGCTTCAAAAATATACGAAATGGGAACAACAGTTGACAAGTTTCAAGCACTCAAAAATACCTGCAATTCTCAAGACTAAATGACTAGGAATAAGTGATTTAAAATACAAAACGTTTTATTTCTGAAATCACCTTTGCTTCTTCTCATTCTCGTCTGATAAATCTTGAAAATGGGGGCCAACTTTTGAGCGCTTGAAACTTGTTAACTGTTATCTCCATTTCGTATAATTTTGAATCAAATGACGTTTTTAATTAGGTATAAGCAGTTCTGGTAGGTTTATGAGTTTATGGCACTTTCCTTAATGTGTAAATATTTTTTTTAAAACCCCATGATCAACATGGATAGCGTAGCTACGTCACTGAATTAGTATTCCTAAAAATGTCTGCAAACACAATTTTTATTCATAGTTCTGATTTTCGAACATTTTTTTATAAAATTAAAAAATTTTTGTTTAAAACGCATACTGCAAAAGAAATAAAATCAAATTTGAATTGTTGTAGTTTAAGAAGCATAATTTATCACAAATATGGAATTTTTGCTGCGGCACATCTTTTAATCTTCCTGAAAATGATTTTTCCAAAATGTAAGATGAAAATGTAAGATAAGAATAATGAATCGTAAAATATACAGTATTCTTATACTAATCCTACAATGAACAACATGTTATTCTTAATCATACCCCCCCTTATTTTAAGGGTAGGGAATCCAAATATGTAAAAATGTGCTTATTCAGAGAAAGGACGTGTTTGTGCTCGATTTTTAAATTAAGAGTTAGCTCTAATTAATTAACATATTTGAAGTAACCCCCCCCCCAGGAACCATTAAAATTGACACTTAGGACGCAAAAATCCACTCATTACAACGACAATTATTCAAGGTAATATCTTTTATTTTGCGCACTATGCCTTTCCTCGACAGACTTCAAGTTTTGTCTCTTGCAATAGATGTGGGGTAGCTGCATTCTGTAAAATATAATCTGAATAATTTTATAAGTACAGCCTAAAGTTTAAACCTTTCAATATACATTGCATTTTTGAATATTTTCGAATACTTCAGTGGGAACTAGTTAACTCTGAACTAGTTAAGTGAATCAAAAAAAAAATTCCTATAAAAATTTTCCTATTCCTGTAAAGAATGAATTTTTATATTTATCATTACTTTATTCAACAATGATCGAAAAAATTTGGAAATGTTTTCGATCATTGTTAAATATAACTCTGAAATCATTGAAGAATTTTATAAATTACTCAGATAAATTTTTCTCGGTAACTATTTGACCGATTTCGCATTGTTGAAGTTACTTATCTTAAAACAATGTATAAATACGCATATTTCACTATTCTAAATTTTTCGAGGATCATAAATTCATGAAGAATAAATAAATATAAAATTTGTACAGGACAAAAAACATTTTATAAATTAAAATGTTTAAAGTTTTAAGACGGAAAAAACTAAGAAAACATTTATTTTCATATAAATAATGTTTTTTAAATACCCAACACTCCTCCATACCCAAAATCTACTAAAATCTCCCATTACATGAAGCAGAAATTTTTGAATTTTTTCCTGAATAATACATTTTAACTCATGATTTGTCAGTCATGGTGCCTAACTCTCTGAACAAACAGTCGAATGAGTGATCCGAAAGTAACCCAGGTTTTGACTGCATGCTGGAACATCATTAACGATGACTAGAGTTTCCTTTAAAATTCATCCTGCTTTAATGCTGCTATTTTATGCTAATGCTTTGGAGTTTTAGTTTTTTACCACAAGATGGCTCTAGCTTCATTCTTCCCATACCACGGAAACATCCGTTTCACTGCTGTAGTCTTTGTGGATTAAAATTTTCCATGAAAAGATTTGAAATTGAGTAAGTAATTAAAAAGCAGATTTTCGGTGCATCGAAAACTACATATGATGACGTTCAAATAAATATTGATTAAAAAGCTAACTTGCCTTAACAAACTTGAAACTATCTTCATAGCCTAACAATCATACTTCTATCGCTATGGAAGATAGTTATTCTCATTTACATTAGATACACAATCGCAATACCAGGATTTGGATAAATATGCTTATATGCATCAAAAATAAAACGGAATCCGTCCAATGGTCCTTGATAAATGAAATTTTAAAATATGCGACGTCCTCTCTTGACTTATAAAATTTAGTAGATGTCAGATACCACCATAATTTTAGGATCTTGAATCCATGATCTAAATCCGCAGAGCAAAAGTATCTTAATTTACAAAGAGTACATTTTTAAGTCTGATTTTGGAATTTATAATATCATCTATACAGTTTAATTACCATATTTTAGGAGTGATGCTTAAACCATTAGAATAGCAATGTGAAAATTTGACAATGAAAGGAAAGGTTTCCAATGTGCTCTGTTTCATTTGTTTACTTTTTTTTAGTTTTATGCATACTGTTAAATAAGAAATAAACACATTTCGATATACTACAGTCATACTCTTTTTAAAGATGATAAAAAAATTTCCTTTACTAATAGTTTTTTCTTTTTTTTTTTACAGAAGCAGAAAATTTGTTAAAAAATATTTCTTGAAAATATATAACCCACTTAATCACACCAACTTAAAAAGGAATATACCGAAAAGAAAAAAATATGCGCATTTCCATTAGTGATGGTTCTGTTTTTAGATATGTTGACAATTGAAATCAAATTGGCATACTATTACCGAATAATTTGCACAATATAACGAGTGAAAATATTACCGACTTTTCTTTCAAAATGGAAAACAAACGTAAGTTCTGTGATGTTGTCATACAAGAAGCAATGTTTATCATTAAACACGGTACGCTTGATGAGTTTGAACGCCTGTTAGAAGAAGGCCTTGATACTAATGCAATCATAGTCGAAAATCGTTGCAGCAAGATGATACACGTAGCATCTTATTTTGGCCGATGTGATATAATTGAATTGCTTATAACAAAAGGAGTTTGCGTTAGTGAAACTGATAAACAGGGGCGCAAACCCTTACACTACGCAGCAGAAAAAGGGCATTTAGAAATTGTAAAGATTTTAATCAGAAATGGGGCAAATGCGAGTGCTGGAGGAGGTGGTATAGGATCGAAATACTGCCATTTTGCATCCAGATTTGGTCGTAGGAACATTCTAGAATTTTTTTTCAGTGAAGGTGGTGATGCGAATGAAACTGATGAAATTGGTTGGACATTGTTGCACTATGCAGCTGTGAACAATGATGTGGATATTGTGGAATATCTAGTTGATAATGGTGCTAATATCCATGCAGAGCAATTTGCTACAGGTATGAAACCTATGCATATTGCATCAGAATATGGTTGTGAAAAAGTTGTAGATTATTTTTTACTTAAAGGAGCAGGTGTTGACACAACTAATAAATTCTGTAACACCTCATTACATTTAGCTGCATCTGAGGGAAAGCTTGAAACAGTTGAGGTGCTTTTGAAACATAAAGCCAACATTCATGCTGCTGATGAAGATGGTAATCAAGCAATTCATCTTTCTTCAAAATATGGACACAGAGATGTACTAAATTTCCTTCTTCATAGTGGTTCCAATGTTCAAGCTGTCGGGGAAAATTTCTGTACGCCTCTACATTTTGCAGCATTAAACGGGCATCTGAATTTAATTCACGATCTTATTGAAAATGGAGCTAATATAAATGCCAAAAACAAATATGGTGAGTCTTCGTTACATTTAGCAGTCAAATCGGGCAATGTTAATGCTGTAGAATATTTCCTCACCCTTGGATTAAAAATAAATGCCCGAGATGATGATTATGGCTGGACTCCATTGCATTATGCTTCGCGATGCGGCCATATAGGAGTTATTGAACTGTTAATTAATAATGGTGCTGACGTCAACGGCAGAAGTAATGGTGGCGAAAAGCCTATTCATGTGGCGGCTAACAATGGGCATACGCAAACAGTTGAGTTTTATATCAATAAAGGATGTGATGTTAATGAATTAAATACGAAATACCATTGGACGTGCTTACACTATGCTTCTCGAGAAGGTTTTCTTGAAATGGTTCAGTATCTTTTTGATAAACATGCCGATATTCACGTTGAATGCAGTGATTATGGAAAAGCTATTCATATCGCTGCTATAATAGGACAAACTGAAATAATAGAATTTTTTATTTCTATTGGAATGAGCATTGAGGAGCCCAGCAGTAAAAAATGGACACCGCTTCATTGGGCTTCAAAAGGGGGTAAATTAGAAACGATTGAATATTTAGTTCAAAATAAGGTAAATATATTCGCAAAGACTTATGAAAATTATAGCGTGTTGCATCTGGCTGCGAAACATGGACACAAAAATGTAATAGAGTATTTCTTGAATTTAGGGCTTGATTTTAACGAACGGAATAAAAAAGGTTGGCAACCTTTACACTATGCTGCAAGGAAAGGGGCCGTTGATATTGTCAGTCTCCTTGTCGAAAAAGGTGCTGATTATGATGAAATGTTTGGGAGAGTTGCCAAACCTCTACACGTTGCAGCTCAAAATGGTCACGTAGAAGTTATTAAAACTTTTATTGAACTTGGGCAAGATCCTAACTCATTTGAACCAGGTAATAATACTCCACTGCACAAAGCTGCCGAAAAAGGCACAATTAGCGTTATAAATTTTCTAGTGGAAAAGGGAGCAGACTCTCACATTATAAATTCAAAAGGGGAAAAACCCATTCACATAGCTGCGCGTCATGGTAACAAGGAAGTTGTTGATTTGTTTCTCAATATGGGTATTAGTGTAGATGAAAAGAGTAAAGATGATTGGACACCTATGCATTACTCCATTACGTATCATCAGTTAGAGCTTGTAAAATATCTAGTGAATAGGGAAGCAAAACCGAGTTTAGACATTAAGAATATAGAAGGTGAAACGCCATTGCATTTAGCTTACAAAAATAAACGCACTGATATAATGATAATGCTATTAGAGGCAGGAGCAAATCCTGATATCAAAGACAATGGCGGCCGTACATTTCTCTATTATTATATCCATGAATATGTTGAACGTTTAGTTTCGTATGATGATGATAGAAATCCACTGAATGCTGAAAGTATCTTGAGTAAAATAACTTGTTTTACTGATATCGATGATAAAGGAAATAAATCTGCTGTCCATCTGTCAGCTGAAGGTCTTTGGAATTTAGATTTTTTTAAACTAATCTTAAGCCACCAAAAAGATGTCAATGTTATTGATGCAAATGGTGACACCCCTTTAAACTACTTAACTGAAGAATGGGCTCTTTCTCAAGGGGAAGATTGTATTTCTTTCATCAATCATCTTATTGATAGTGGTGCTTATTTCAAACCGGAAGATTGTCAAAGAATACTAGAAAATCATCAAGTAAGAGATGTGCTTTTTACTGACGTAAACTTGTGTTCTAAGTCAATAGTAAACAAATTCAATAAGGTCGAATTGCCAGCTTTGTATCGTTCACCAGTGCTTTCATACCTACCTCCCATCGATAAAATGAAATTAAATCGTCCTCAAATTCAAAGCATAGAAATAAATTTAGAAAAGGAAATACTGAACAACGGGTATTGTGATGTATCTACAATGCTACCACCATTGCTTGTTATTGCTTCAGTGGTTTCTCTTGCCAAGTATTATGGACAGTCTCACGAACTCAAATAATAACAGAAATAGCTATTTTTGGAAAAGTTTTCTTTGTATTTTGCTCCTTGTTTTAATGTATTGATCTTAGAGTTTGTAAGTTTTCATCAATTCCTTGCAACACGTTATAAATCAAATTCTCGTTCAATTGTTTTGTAACTTAACTTTTGCTAACTAACAAATTATAAGGCATACCTTTCCTCTAATTAATTATTTACTTATTATTTAAATTATGATGTAATATATTTAATGCCTCAACTTCTTTGTTTACGAAATCAAGTTTAAAATGAGAGATTGATACACATAGAGCTATATATTTAATAAATAATTTGTTATAACTTTTTTAGAAGCACTAAATAACCTATCTCGGGTCAATAATTCGGGAACACTCTGTTGTGCTCAGTGGAAATTTTCATAAAAATCACTACTGCAGCTCACTTACTTCATTTTCTCTGTCGATATCATGTATTTCCCCATGATTTTATTGCAGCAGATTGAATTTCCGCTTAATACTTTATTCTCAGCAACAGGAAATTACTCTATAAATGAATATATTACAGCACTTGTCATCCTATGTACGTTTTCTTAAAGTTTCCGAGATTTTAAAATTAATATTATTTAATCTTTATGTCTTACTACAATTCTATATAAAATTGCCAATGATTTACTTTTAAAGTCTATTAGATACAGTCTTTTTTATATTGGGAAATATTGTATTTCTTGGAGGAAATCCATTTTTAGAAATCAGAAGCATTTGGTGGAAAAAGGTAGTTACAGATGTTGATCTCCAAAGCATCTCCTCTGTTTTCTGAAAGGTGGAGAGTTATCCAGTACATATATAGGCTTCTTCTAAATCTTGGAATAAGAAACTCGAGTTTAGAATTGAGCAATGGGAGAAACTTTATATCGGGATACATTATCACTGAGACATATCAATACATCATGATATAACATACCTTTGAATAACTTTTTATGTTGATTTTTATAAAAACATGAATGCTTTGCTAATTTTTTTTCTAAATTAAAATAATTGAGTTGAATTGATAAATCACCAAATTCTAAAAGAAAAAATAACGTAATCTTTGTTTTAATTATTTTGGGAAAAACAGTTTTAGAGGTTTAAAAACAGTAGCAAATTTCTATGAAAATATTTAACGGGCATTAGAGAAAAAAATAAAATTAATCTTTAACTGAAAAAAAAAGTTATAAAATTTTTAAAAGCACCGCTTACAAAACATCTTATTTCAATGAATTATTAAAGATGGATTGACTTATTTCAAACCGAAAGATTGTCAAAGAATACTGGTAAATCATGAAGCAAGAGAAATGCTTTTAACTGATGTAAAGTTGTGTTCTAAGTCTATAGTAAAAAAATTCTATATAGTGGATTTTCCAGCTTTGTATCGTTCACGAGTATTTCATATCTAGCTTCCATCAATAAAATTAAATTAAATCGTCTTTAAATTCAAATCATAGAAATAAATGTAAAAAAGGAAATCTTAAACAATTGGTATTGTGATACTATGCTACCACCATTGCTTGTTATTGCTTCAGTGGTTTCTCTAGCCAAGTATTATGGAAGCGAACACAAATAATAACAGAAATAGATATTCTAGGAAAAGCTATATTTGTATTTTGTTCCTTCTCTCAATGCATCGATTTTAGAATTTGTAAGTTAACCTCATATTCTTTTCACATGTTATAAGTCAGCATGTGACCTTATCAGTATTGATATGAATCAGTTTTTTTATATTTATTTATTAAGCGCTCGTTATTGCTATGTGGCTTCTCTATACAGGTATTATGGACAGTTTATAATCAAATAATAACATAAATTGTTTATGATTAAAAGGTGTGGTCACCCACCGGGAAAACATGAAATGATCAGAGAATTTTCTATACTAGAAAAGTCAGGAAAATTCAGATAAAAATCAGAAAATTTATTTCTATTAAATAGCTGGACTTCTCTTTACTCTTTAAAAATATCTCTCTGCGTTCGATCAAAGTAAAAATAGAAGTATATATAACATACATGTATATTGTAGTTAGAATCAGATTTCACTTAAGATTTATTTTCACATTTTCAGAGAAATTAAGAAAATAGCACTCACTTTTTTAAAATTCGACCTTCCTTAAATGTTTCAAATATAATTCGATATCTTACCGAACATATCACAAAAAAAAATTTATATTTATTGCTTTGACTAAAATTCTATGAACATGTTTCAAACGCTTCGGATCTTCATAAAGATTCGAAGCTAAAACTTTATCGTTTCTTGAAGAATGCTAACCACATATTTCGTGATTTTTTTTCACAAAATTGAATTCGTCGTCAAATAAAATTTTGGCCTTTATAAAAATAGCTGGAGTACTTAAAAACAAATAGAGCTCAGGTTTGGATAACAATACAAGCTATTTCTTGACAGTTACAAATACAATTTATCGGCAAATAGACATTTATCATCCATAGAAATGTGGACTAAATTATCGACTTAAAGAAGTTTTTTGCCTATTAATTACATAAATTTAAATAGTTTTCTGACCGCTATAAAAAGAAATTATCAATCACAGTTGCGATAGCTTTCTCATTAATGTTTCGAGCAGTACTTGTGACATTACAAGATACAACTGCTTTCTGAACTCTGCCAAAATATAAAATACCATTCAAAATCATGACTCCTTTCCTACTAGCTAGAGTGCTTAAATTTAACTAAATCTCCATGCCTAATGCCAAGACAAGTTATTTTTATTCTAAATGGTTGCTTAAAAAGCCTATACATTATATGAATATATTGGTGTAGGCATATGTTTAACATGAATTGATTGTACTTACAATGTACTATGCATAAATGTATATGAATTCATTCTTTATGCATGCCTAGATTTGCATTCTGTATGTACTTACCAATATACATATACTTACGCATGTGAATACATACACAGGTAGACTTATGTACTCACAATTTACCTGTGAATGTAATGTCTGTACGTTCATACGCACATACAATTTATTGTACATACAAAGTACAGGTGTTAAACTTTACCAAGTAGTTATTTAGTTAGAGACAGGTCCATTCTTTCTCTCCGATTTTAAAAATTAAAAAATATCATTTTGGATAAAAATTTCAACAATTTTCTTTTTAGTTTTATTTAATTGCTGCTCCCCTGGTATTTAAAGTCATGCAATCCTAAATGCAGGAATTTAATTTAAATACCGAATAGTAAAATAGAATTCTCGAATAACATTTGATCTAATGATCGGATTTTCATGCACTAGGACTCAATCTAAGTGGTTTGAATGCCTTGTCCTTAATATATGGATTGATTAGTACAAAGAAAATTTCAAGTTACAAAATCTACTTTTTTGAATTAACTTTTATTTTGACTAGATACGCTTTCCTCAACATCAAAATAGATTAGGGGTGGAAAACTATTGTTCAAATTGTTTGGACCCCTTAATGTTGATTTCACTTTTTAAGCATTTTGCTATTTATCTAAAACATTTTGCGTGAATCGAAAAATATTTGCTTAAAATTAAAAAATTCATTTATTTAAAGTCAGAAAACTAAAAGTTTAAGCATACGACTTTTTTGAAATCTGCTGACTCAGAAACTATTCGTCAAAATTAAAGTTTTTTGTCATTTAAGACTGCAATATTTATAAATATTAAAAGTATAAATAACATAAGATTAAAAAAAATTCGAATTGTTAAATAAACTAATCAATAATTATTAAAAACTTTATTTTGTAAAGAATTATCTATCTAAAGACGATTTTTATAATTGTGTGTAAAATATTTTTGATTCACTTAAAATTTTTTCGAGGCTTAGTAAAATACGAAAAAACTAAAATTAACTTTAGCAGTTCATCTGCTTTGCCGAAACTATTAGAACCATGTTTTTTCCGAATTTATCGCATGAAAGGTATGTTTATTTAGAGAAGGTACGTTTTTGTCTGATTTCGTAATTTTAAATATCATCTGGACTGATTAATTAACGTATTTTACTTTAGACCTTAAAACTGCTAACATAAAAGTCCTAGAACGCAATAATCCGATTGATCAAAAGTCATTCATGGAGTTCACTTTTTTATTTTGCGTTCTGTACATTTCAAATGTTAATGTCCAGAAAGATTGGGTATGCATTGTGCTACGTAGACAAAAGTGAAAAACAAAGTGATAAATGTACAAATCAGGTACCGAAATTGGCATATTAGAGAGCTTTTGCGTTACGTTATGTTAACGGAAGCTCGTAAAACTAGTTCAAGATAGCTAAAATTAATCTTTAGAGCGCTCAAGCCTGCCAGTGGGGATAGGGTGTGGTTATTCATAATATGATTCGAAAATTTTTGTAAAAAGTGGAATGGCAACAACTAAGTGAGCGGGTAGAAAACAACAACTGTCGGGTGGTCAGTTACAGGATGAGTTTCTCAAAAACTTATGGTTGCAACGTTTACCATCACAGATTTATCTTTTTCGTCCGAAAAATTAAATAATTTGGCTGAGGTTCCCGACAAAGTCGCGGATGTTGCGTTATCGGTTGCGGTGTTTGGCGCTACAGCTGCCTCTGTTGCCACTGCGCAATCCAGGATTTATCTAAACAAAATGCAGAATTATAGCTGCAAGTGGCTCACTTGTGACGCTACCGCACTAAGTAACCTTTTAGATGTAGGCAATCGTCACGCTCGGGAAACAAAAACAAAAAAACAGCACCAAATTAATTTTTGTTTCTATCATGCGCGTTTTCAGAATAATGCACATAAATATGTTCCACCTTGTGAATATTTGCAACCGCATAACACTCGCGATAGGCCTAACTATTCAAAGAATCAGGACAACTAGAATCTATGACTTTTTAAGAAATGATGCTTATTTGTATGTAACAAGAAATCTCATCAACGTTACTTTATTGATTCCGGTGCCTATATCAGTAACATTAGTATTATTCCTGAACCAAATATTCTCACTAAGCCCATCAAATTTGAACTTTTCGCCTCAAATGATTCAACGATAAAAACCTATGGGCAAAAACTTCTTGATCTAAATTTAAGGCTATCTTTCCTATGGAATTTTGTCATCCCTGACGTAAGCACCGCTATCATTGGTTTTTGATTTTCTCAATCATTTCGGATTAATCACCGATATTAAAAATAAACGTCTTATAGATCCCGATGCAAAATTGTCAACAAAAGGTGAAAGTTTTACAAGGCAAGATTTACAAATTAAAGCTTAAGCCGATACCCTGATTTCAGAAAATATATTTTAAGTTAATTTCCTGATATAACGACTTAAAACTTAAGACGTGATCTTCGGGCATTCGGTTAAAAAATAAAGCACAATGCAT